AAGCAGGCATATCATTACCCCCATTTGTCAGATGGGAAAACTGAGGCTTATAACTTGCCCAGGGTCACAGCCCATAGGTGGTGGTGGAGCCAGGATTTGAATTGAGGTCCAGCCGCCTTTCCAGCGGAGCTTGTAACCACTGTGCCCTCCTGCCTCGTGGTGCTGAGTGGATCAACTTAGGAGAGGCTTAGGGTCTCTGAGATGTGCCAGATGAGGGACAGAGGGCAGGGTGGTAGCTGGCTGAAGGGAGACAGGGGGTCATTGGAGTGTGATGGAAACCCAGGGTGACGAGATTTTGAAATGTTCATGTGGCTCATTTAATGGAAAGAAGAAAGGCAGACAGGGAGAAAAAAAGCCCTTATCACAGCAGATACCTCCGGGCTTAAATCATGTTCTCCCAGCACCAGCGACCGTGGAAAAAGTGCTTATCGACACCTCCCTCTCCAGGCCTGTTAATTAGCCCAGCCTGCTAATGAGGGAGGTCATTCTGAGCCCACGTCAGGCTTAAAGAAGGGGAATGCGAGTTAGTGAGTCGGGACTGGACAGGGGAGTTGTGTGGCCTCGTTGTCTGTAAAATAAGAATGTCAAGAACAATTGTTTCTTCATTACTGTGAATGTGAGCCTTGTGTTTCCAAAGGTCAGCGCCTGTGAGCACATCACGGTTTAGAGTGGGTTCCTATGGTAATTAGGCCATCGTGACTGAGGGCATTTTGTGTCAGGCAATGGGGTGCTGGATTTTCGCCTTTCTGTGCAGCACATGCTTGTTTCCTGCAAATGTAACCATTTCTCTTTTTCCCCTTTTCTTCTTGTTTTCATCCTTTCTGCATCACGCGTAGTTCTGGAGTCAGAGAATTCCTCAGCAGGTATGCTTTCTCTTGCATCCTTTCTGTCCCTGCCTTCCACCCAGAACCCTTAAATTAGAGGGGGAACCAGGGAGTGTTCCTGTGAGTGAGGGGGTTCTTTTTTTTTTTCCTCCCCTATCTCTCAGATGAGTGGAGGCTTTCTTCCAATGCCGATGCCAATGGAAACGCCCAGCCCTCTTCACTTGCTGCCAAGGGCTACAGAAGCGTGCATCCCAGCCTTCCTTCCGACAAGCCCCAGGTAGGCATGTGCCCACGGGTGGGCGGGGGGCTGTTCTTGAGTCTGTTAGCTTGCCCTTGTGGCTTCCCGCTCGCCCAGCTGGATGCTGGACTAAGCTCTGAGGCGCACTTTTGGCTGACTCTGGAAGAGCCCTGGGAGGACCAGAGTGAGGGAGAAGCTGGGGTCAAGGGAAGCAGGCACATAGGATGAGGTTGCTCTGTACCAGGGCATCCAAAATATAAGCCCAATATTTTGTAGGTTTGAAACGTATGTGGAAATGTTCTGTAAGAGGGAATGCCAAGTCGGAAAAAGGTCTGAGCCCAATACTCAAAAGAGGAGTGCGCTCTTGTGTTTGTTCCTTTCATTTGCTGGAGGTGGGGCTGTAAGACTTCCAGCAACTCCATTCTTACAGATTAAGATCAGGTAGCTGTGGCCAGACCCTAACCTGGCAGCCTGGAAGCAGGCAGATGAATGTCAAAGTGGCAGTATGGCGGGGTCTACACTGCCTAGCGCTGCCCTATGGAAGAAAATCCCCGAAGTTGTCCAACTTGGAGCAGGAATAGTTGTGCTTCAGTTTTTCCCCTGAGTTGTTTTCCTCCTCTTTCTTCCTTCCCCGCCCTGTTGCTACTTTGCCATTTTGACAAAAGAAATAGACCCCGTTTTAATTCGGATGATCTGTGAAGAGGGTTTTTATGTAGAGGAGTACCATCCATGGAACAGAGCAGTCTTTTCTTTTAAAAAGAGCAGTGCTGCTCAAAACATGTGGCAGAAATGTGTGCCTTGTGCAGGCCACCTCCCTGCACCTCCATCCTGTGCACATGCTCCCAGAACTCACAAGGAGCCCAGGCCTTCCTGGTTCTCAACCCTCCTTCTCCGAGGATCCTCCGGGTTCTGCTCCTGAGAACATAAAATTGCACTGATCCCTGGAATGAAACCGAGTCAGAGGTGACGCCTTCCTTCCCCTCCGCAGACCCCCGTATCCCCAGGCTTAGAGGAGGTTGCAGAATCGTCTGCCTTGTGTGCTGAGGCAGGACCACGGAGCATTGCCACCTCTGCCGTGGCCTGCGTCCCTTAGCCACTGCCGTGTGCACGCAGGGCCGCTGGTCAGAACCAGGAGCTGTGAAGGTGCCTGGCCTCCTGAAGTCCTTGTTAGACTCGGGGACGTGGGCTGTCAGTGTCCTAGTAAATGACGTGCCGTAGTTTTTCCATTTATAAGACCTTTCCCAGCATCTGCCAATGGCAGACACACGTCCTCCTCAGTGCTCTCAATAATGGATCCAATTGGCTCTCTATCCTTGTTAGGAAATAATGCTGATTAATTCAAGGCAGATGCAGAAGGACATCCTTTTCCACTGTCAGGGACCTGGCCCAAAGGGTAACCCACTAATTCCTTGTGGCCTCTGAAGTAGCTTCTCTAATAGAGAATTTTAACAGCATATGAAGTAAGTAAAAACCCCCTTTAAATACATTTACTTATGGTAACTTTCCTGAGTGTTTGTTGCGTTCAGGTCCCCATGTGAAGTGGTGCCCTCCAGGAGTTTGTAAGGGTGAGCTTCCCAATTAGAATGATCATCTTGTAATACCGCCTACGGATGGTGGGTGTGTTTTCTTCTCTGTCACTATTGGAGAATCTTCTTTTTACTGGAATGTCTTAAAGGACGCCTGGTAAATTGCTGATGTAGAGATTTGATTCTGAATATTCAGTGTAAAACCGGCCATCCAACCGTTGAGAAGCTTTAGTTACGCATTACCTCTGGGATGTGTTTTCTGAATGCAAAAGTGACTTCTTGTCCTTGTCGCCATTGCCGGGGCTGTAAGTATACCCTGGCTCAGACAAGGCCACGGAGGGCTGGGCTGGTGACTGCTCTGGCTTGGTTTCAGATGAGGACAGCTCGCAGACCCCTGCGGGCCCACCATCTCCTCACAAGGACTGAGTTGGAGTCCAGGAGACTCACGGGCCAGCAGGGAATCCATTCTCCCATTGCCCTTCTCTCTCACCTCCAGTGACAGGGACCAGGGCTTCCCTCTCTGACAGCATCCTCGTGGTGGTCCCACAGGGAGGCAGGAGCTGGTACTTTCTGAAACTGCCCACACTAGGAACATATCAGATTCTTCAAGCAGCCCCACTTGTTCACTGCCCTACCTTCTAAAAAGATAAATGGAATTTCATTAGTACCCACCTGGGGAGAAATGCCAGCTGCCTGTGGGGTCCCCACAATATTTACAATAAAACAGAAAGGAGTTCCTGCCATGTAAAGGGACTGTGCCTACCCTCCTCCTTCTTTAGGGCTAAAAGAAGCCCCAGGACAGGAAGGCCTTGGCTCTGGGTGTGTTATCAACACTCTGGGGAAGTTCTCTCTCCAGGGTCAGAGCCCTGGGAAGACTCAGGCCTGATGTAATGCAGCCCTGACACCTTACATGGCCATAGCCAAATTAAGTTAAAAACTCATTAAAATCAATTTCTGTCTTTGGACGAGAAGCAAACCACATGGGGGGGCGCTTGAGCTCAAAGGAAGAGTAAATCTGAACCTAACTCAAAATTGCCTTTTATTTACCTCCCTGACAACCATTATCAGCTTACCTGCAGTCCCTTTGGTGCGTCCTAGTTCAAGTGTTTTGTTTCTAGAGGGCAGCGTTTTAGTCTGTGAACACACTCCAACCTGCAGCCTAAGTTCACTGAAACCAAGAGAGCACGTCTGCAAGGCCTTGCTCCTGACTGCTGAAAATACATTTCGTGTAACTTGGAAACTGAGTTTGCCAAGGGACAAGGTATTTACTGTCTCTGGGTTGATATTCTAGTCCAGACTCATACTTTATTCTCACGTATTCACCTTTGCTAATGTCTCTTCCTCTTGCTGTCTCTGCACGCCACAGAAAAATAAAAGTAAAATACAAAACAACCCCAAAGTAGACCCACACCCTTGCACCTTCCCAGTTTTGGGTCACAATCCATTTACCACTTATCAGCCAGACTCTAATAGACTTTACCTGTGCAACTCAGTGGAAGCTGCTGGTTTCCTCCTTGTAGTGAGCTATCTTTACAGCAGTGAGGAGAATCTAGGCTTCTCGGCTTAGGCTGCTGTAACAAAATATCAAAGACAGGTGGCTTAACTGACAGACATTTATTTCTCACAGTTCTGGAGGCTGCGAAGTCCAAGATCAAGGCGCCAGCCTGTTGGGTTCCTAGGTAGGGCTCTCTTCCTGGTGTGTAGACAGCCACCTTCTCACTGTGTCCTCACCTGGTGGAAAGAGAGCACTCTGGTCTCTCTTCCTCCTTTTACAAGGATGCTAATCCCCTCCTGGAGCCTCACCCTCGTAACCTCGTCTAACTCTAATCACCACCCACAGGCCCCACATCCAGGTGCCATCACTTGGGATTAGGGATTCCACTTATGAATTTTGGGGGATACACATCCAGTTCATAACATCAGGAAAATAAACTTTCCTTACGGTCTCATCCCCAGTTGAGCCGTAGGTGACAGATGGCTGTCCTTAAAATGAGATCATCTGTAGAGTCCCCCCATTTCCTGACCTTTGCCCCACTGAAACCCAAGGAGAAGCTTGGGGCTGTGTTGAGGGAGAGGGAATGAGAAGAGAACTACAGTTTTGTAGCTCTGAGCCTGGAACTAGAGCTTTGGGCTTAACCCGGGAGCCTGAGGCTGACCACCCTCTCCTAGGATTGCCTGTGCCTGGTGGGCTGGCTGGGAATGGGGAACAGGCTGGAATTTGGTAAGCCAGGCACAGTACAATCCAGCCGGCCAAATTCCTCATTGCCTGCTCCCTGTGTTCTGGGTGCATCAAAAATGGGAAACTACGTGCTTTTAATCTCATGCTTGTCTTCCTTCTAATAATGAGTTCCATGAAATTGTTTCCTTCAAGAAAAGAGCACATGTGGCTTCTAAGTTCTTAGTGTTCTCTTCTTGGTGAGCTTTAATTTGTTATGCTTGTGGAACTGACTGCTGACTCGTAGTGATTCAGTTGAGGCTTCTGTTTCCTGTGAATGCAATAAGGATGATCCTTCCAGTTCCTCGTTTCCTAAGGGAAAAGAAGGATGCACACTCAGGAGTTTCAGTGAACTTAAACTTTTAAAGCTAAAGGCATAAAGAGGAAAAGCTTTGAGGAAAGGTGATGGGAGAAGATTGGGGTCTCAGAGACTCCCTCCACTGGCTCTGGGCCCCTGGGTCCCCTCCTTCAGTCAGGGGTCTCTGAGGGTGGGGGTCAACCCCAGACTGGTGTCCAGTTGGCTTAGCACCTGGCTAAGCACTCAGGCTCCCTGGGATGCAAAGGAGAGTGAAGCCTGCCTTTCCAGGTGAGTATAATTCAGCCCTTGGCTTTACCCAGAGGAGAAATATATGAGCTACAAGCTGAGGATTTGCTTGAAAACATATCAAGACTTGTTTTTTACTTCAGATCGTGTTGTGCTGCTGTTTCTAATGGTCGTCCTTCTTTCCATTTCCCCTCCTCTTTCTTTTTATCGTGTCTTTAAAATAATACCAAAGGTCCTCTCTCCCCCACGTCGTCCTCCTCACCCTATGGAGGACCGCTTTGCATGGCAGTCCCCCAGCACCCACAGCCCCTACAAGGACTCCCTCTACCTGAGCTCACCCAAGCCTTACATCCCGCCCAGCACCCTCAGCCAGCAGAGCCCCTCACGACCCCAGCTGGTCCCTGTCGCCTTGGCAGCCAGATCAGCCCCCAAAGGTGTGCCACGTCCCAGGCCCCCGCTTCCGGGTTCCACGTTCCCCGGCGCTTCGGCCCAACCCCAGCAGCGCTATGCAGCCGCCAGGACAGTTGAGAGAGAGAATGTGAGCTCTAACCCACGTCATGAGGCAGTTGGGAATAAAAAGGTCAGCAGCTTATATGTACCTTGTTTATCGCACAACATTCGCCGGGTGGCATCGGAAAGCCTCTCCCTTGTTGCACGTGACCCAGCCAAAGGCACTCCCTGGGAAGCTGCAGGCACTCGAGCACCGGCGCCCAGCCTTGTCTCCCACACCGCCGGCACAGGAAGGCCACCCTCTGCTCCTCCTCCTGACCCTCCCAAGCTATTCTTTGACATCCGTAAAGATGCCGTTAACCGTGGCAGGAGTCCTTCCCTGGGGACTCAGTCTCCGTTCCCAGATGCAGTGAGACCACCTGTGCTAGGCCCCCAGGTTACCTCTGATCCCGAAAACCGGAAGAGAAAAGAGCCTTACCTTTTGCAGCCGTGGTGTCCAGCCAAGGCAAGGAACTAGGAATGTTTGTGTGTCTTCTACACCGTCTCTTTCGAAACTCATGCGAGCAGCTCGTTTGTTTTCTGGGCCGCCCCACCCTCCCTTCCTCGTTAATACTGCTGCAGCTTGGGTCCTGAATTCTCTCTAAACATCTCAGCACAGTCCTCTCCGTCTGCCCCCTCTCTTTTCTGTAAATACGTAAGTACGCTGGAGCGCGGAATCCGTAGACTAATAGTACGGTGAGATGTTCTGTGTTATGTCTGTCTTATAACAAGGTGCCAGAGGAATTGTATTTACTCCCAGGCTTTCAGGCTCTGCAAGTGGTTTGGGGGTTAAACACAGCCTGCCTGCCTGTTCTGTTCTCTCTTTCTCTCTCTCTAAAGTGTTAAAAGGATTCAAAAATAGATGGATGGAAAGTAAACTTGGATGGGGTTCTCTCTGTGTCATAGAGTGTCAGGAGGCCAGCTGGCTAGCACTGACTGTCTCATGTACTCTGAGGACAGAGCACCGATTAAATGTTTCTCAGAGTACACCACTGCATGTCCACTCTCGACTTTAAATGTGGAATTCCTTCTTCCCTGCCGTACCCCTTTACATAACGACCCCCTTATTTCCTACAGGATGCCACGTCCTCCAGCCCAGCCCAGCCCGAGGTCATAGTTGTCCCTCTCTACCTGGTTAACACTGACAGAGGTCACGAAGGCACTGACAGACCCCCGGCATCTCTGGGGCCGCCCGGCCCCCCAGTCCCGGCGACCACCCCCGCCGGCTCACCTCTGGCCTTGCCGACTCTAGATGATTTCATTCCCCCTCACCTGCAGAGGTGGTCCCACCACAGCCAGCCAGTCCGTGCTCCTGGCTCCTTCCCTCCCGCGAGCCAGACGCCACCATCCTTCTCACCACCGCCTCCGCTGGTCCCTCCGGCGCCCGAGGGCCTCCGCAGAGCCGCGGAGCCTGGCCTCAAGGGAGCTGTTTCAAGTACCGTAAGCTTGCTGGATCCCCTCCCTCACAGCTTTCCTGACTGTCTGCTCCCGGCAGTAAAACCACCACCACAACAACAGCAAAACCAAAAGGCCCTTTCTCGCTGAAATACTGAGTTCTGAGAGAGATGTAGGCTGCCCTGTGCTTGTGTGATGACCAGAACCGTGTTTGCTTTCACTAGAGCATGCCTGCCCTGTGCATTCCGTGGGCCTCTTGTGGCTGTTCACCCGCCTCTCAAGACCCTCTTCCTCTCTGTCCTGTTCCAAATGCACGTCTTCCTGCAGAGCAGACCGCCTCCGTGGCCTTTCCTTTGGCTAGCTGCCCCTTCGTAGGCCAGGCAGATGTAATGTGGAGAGCTGAGGAAGGCTGGAGAATTGCCTGGAAAAGCCACCAGCAGGCATGGTGCTAACCGCTTCTCCACCAGGGAGCAGGGAGATTCTAGGGAGGAAAAGATTCACTCTTGTTGATCTTGCAAGTAAGCGAACTCTTTTATATACAGCAATGGCAAGGACTGGGTTTTAAACAGAAAGAAAGCTTAATTGAGTGAATGGTTATAAAAGTTTGGTACAAGTGTTAGCACTGTTGCCTCCAAAGGCAGAAAAGTTGCTGGGGCCCCTGCGTAGTGGCTGCCAGGAGCCTTTGTGGCAAAACAGCACCCCAGTGGTCGTGGTCGTGGGAAGTTGGAGCATCTTGATGCTTGATGTCCTGTCCTGTAAGGGGCAAGTCCCCAGCATAGTGAGAAAGCCCAGGAGCTTTAGAGGAAAGGCTAAGTCAAAGGACTCGGTCTGTTGTCCCCTCGGGAGCCCTGGGAATTGAGAGTGAAAGCAGCTCAGTGTGAGTTGTAAAGTGGAGCTGCCTGAATCTGTCAGGGCTGTGGGGTGCAGCAGGGCTGAGCACATAAAAGTTCCTATTCCGGTGCTCGGAACAGAGAGTGCCCAGTAAACGTGAGCTGTGGTGCCAGGGACTTGCCCTACAAACAGGCCAGAGTCCTTCAAATATGAGTAACTGGCTAATTAGCAATCAGTCATGAGTACCTCCCATATTCCAGGTATTCTGCTAGATTCTGTGGGCACAAGCGCGAACAGAGGATTTATCTCAGTAGTGAATTACTGCTCAAGATTAGTGTGCATGGGATTGTCTGAGGTTGTACTGCTAGAGTTTCTGGTTGAGTGGGTGTGAGGAGGGGCCTAGGGACTGAAACTGGGTAACAGGCATTCTGGGAGACTCTGATGCTGAGAATCTGTGGGCCACATTTTGAGATGTAGTGACTTAGCGGGTCTTGCAATTGGCTGATGGAACTAAACGTTCATTGACATCCCTCCACGCAAAGAGATATACTTACAAAACTGGCTCAGAGGGCTCATTAAACTGAAGCCCGTCATGCAGAAAGCAGGAAGGAAACTTTTTTTTTTGACTTGTAAGAGAAATTACTCCCAGGCCACCAGAGCTGAGAAAGGCTACATCCTCTTCTCAAATCATAGATACAGCATGACGCAGTTAGGTGAGGACCTGGCCAGATGTGGCCAGGGGCTTAGATATCCTAGTTTAGAGCTTTTTGCAACTCAGCTCTGTTGAAGAAAATTGCTAGGTGGTTCACTGATACCCTCTTCTCACCTCAGCTCAACTCGTATGTGACTTTAGATACCACTCTTGTTTTGAAGAGTTCAGGCACAGAATGTTTCTCTAGAGCAGCGTGTAAAGCAAGTCTTGTTTTTAGTGCACCATCATGAGCAGTGTTCTCGTGTACCCACACTTGGTCATTTATGGGGATCTAGATTTCATGTTGAGTTTGTTGCAGGTGTGCCCAGACAGATCATTTGGGACAGTGTCCTCAATGTCTCAAACCTGCCTGGTCAGCCTGGTACAGACTTCTCAGGAGGGACTTCATTTGGCCCCATAACTTCTGGTTTGGCCCTGGATACAGAGTAAGAGGTGAAAAAGGAAACTGCTTGAGTGACAGTTGTCAAGAGCAGGAGCCCCTGTGGGTGGCGGCCAAGCCACCAGTTGGTATCTGCTTCACCTGCAATGACTGGAGAGTAAGAGGGAAGGAAATTCGTGTTCATTGATCCCGATTCTTTTAGTCAATAGCCATTTTTGTGATGTTCCAGAAATAAGACTTAAATGCTGGAATAAAATTTGTAAGATGCTTAGTGTTCACCTGCTGCATCCAGGAGTTTATAAAGAGCTGTCTGCCTGATTTTTGTGTGTATCTTGGCAGTTTTCATTGTTATGTCATTTGTCTTTATTACATCACTTTGAAGGTAAATTAGGATAAGTGTATATTGTTTTCCACTTTACAAAAGGAAAAACACAGAGATAAGACACTTTTATACAAGATTATATTGTGCCTCTGGAGTCTTGGGACAAGGTTTCATTTACTAAACTGAGCTGCCACTCGTAACTGACAGCTGTGACATTAGGGCACTTTCAGAAGAGGTGGGCTGACCAAACCAGTGTTTTTAAGGAAGCCCCTACTGTGTGTCAGGCACTGTCCCGGGTGCTGACACTCACATCCTCTCTTTTGATGGGCACGTGTTGTCTTGCCACAGAAATTGTTCCGAAACACCTTTGCTTGTTGACGGCTCCTGTCACTCATGTGGCATTGTGCTAGATGCAGGGGGAAGAGGCGGGTGGGGGGCGTGGCCCTTGTCCTGCAGGTACGTGCAGGGCCGGGGCGGCTGATCTCTGCTGGGCATACTGACTGCTTTGAGCTCTACTCTTATCTGGAAGGTAATTCTGTCTTGTTTTTCGAACCTTTTAAGAATGACATTCTGGCTTTAGGGTAAATTCCAAAATAGAAGCTTTACAAAATTTATAGGTATGATAGAGGAAGCTGTCTGCATATCCTTGCTACATTTTGAGGTCTTCATGACTTTAAAAGGCTGGCATTATTCTCATCATGCAGATTATAATGTTAGTATAGTAGTAATTTTATTGGTATTTCTGGCAGAGGCCTCAGGATTTTGAAGTTAGGACTTTGACTTCAGAGATCTTTGTCACTCAATATTGGAGTGAAAAAAATGTCACAGTGGGACAGGATAATACCCAAATCTCAGAAGCAAGTTGCTAGTAAGTTCAGTGATGTAGATACTATAAGTAGCTTTCCAAGAGTTCCAATGCTCGGCTCTTTTCTGTTCTTACATCGAAGGCTTCATGTCTTCACATTGTCTCATGTTTCTTTAAACAAGTGTACTAAACTTTTCCTGATTTTCCCCGCAATTACACCAGCTCTCGTCCTCAGATTGCACTGAGAATTGCATGAGTTTTGCATGTTATGCTACTTTGATTTGAATTTGCTTTTTCAGTAACCGGATTGATCCACAGCTATGACCAGGTGAAAATAATGAATGACGTTGCTGAGACCGAGTAACAGTTCACCTTCCTTCTCTCCCCTTACTAATACCAACAAAGAAAATAGACATTGCAGATTAAACTTCTAACTGGAATTAATATGTCTCACTCGTTACATTTCTTTTTATAATTAAAGTCCTCATAAAGCTTTAAATCTCTTCTTTTTAAAGAGCATCACCTCCAGGTTTCCTGTAGTTACAGTAAGTGACCGTGTGTGTTTTCTTTTCAGGACTCAAGTCCCCCACTAAATGAAGTCTCTTTGTCCCACGTTGGAACTGATTCCCAAACCTCTGCACAAGTGAGCAAGCCACCATCTGCCTACCCCTCCACGACAATCGTCAACCCCACCATCGTGCTCCTGCAGCACAACCGAGGTAAGGGTTCTGCGCGGGGCACCCCACTCCCAGCTCGCTGCAGCCCACATAGCTGTTATGTGACATCTGGGGCGAGAATTCTGCCAATCCACAGAATTTTTCATAAATCCCGTTCTTCCCCGAGGCCACCTGCCCCAGTTTGCTCACTGCCACGGCCCACAAAGTGGATCACAGCCGCAGACAGAGGCCCCTGATCGGGGGTGATGTGAGGTCTCTGAACAAGTGAACAGGTGGTGTGTGTGTCCCTGAAGATTCAGTTTTCCTCAGATGGGAGCTCCAAAAAAGAAAGGAAAGACAGGAAGGGAAAAGTCTGTGCCTTAATTCCTGTCATGAGGATTCTAGCTGGAGCTGTGCTGGGACGATCCAGGTGCAGTCATACCTCTTTTAAGTGCTGTCCTAAACCCTGTAGTTCTGTGACATGAATTCTCTAGAAAGCAAAAATTTGAGTACCAAAAATTTTAAAAGAAGAAAACCTAGTGGATGGGAAATGTTCTAAAATAGAAAATGTGGTTTTGTATCTCTCAAACGGAAGCTTTTGAACTTTTTCTCAGTGACTCACAGCTTCATTCTCCCCAGGAGTTGCTGCGCTGGGCCCTCGCTCAGGGGCTCCCTCTGGGGACTTGGGGATGGTGTGGCTCTCTGCCCCTTACGCTGCGCGGCCCCAGGCAGCTCGGCTGAGGGTTTCTGTGTGTGTTTTCTAGAGTTCCTCTGGCTGCTTCTGGTTGGTTCTTCCCTTTCTCTGAAGGGGCATCTTAGGGGAAACAGTGCTTTGAAGTAATCATTGTGTATATTGAGCATTCTGCTTTAAAATTCCAGAAGGTGGTTCTAGGTCCAAGTTTTCCTTTTTGGAATTCCAGAGAGGAATACACCTCAGAAAAATCCTTTGCAGTGTGACATGTAACATTTTCAGGCTGTTTCCTAGTGTAGAAAGGGTTCTTGAGTCTTAATTCCAGAGAACAGTAGCAGTTTAATTATTTTTTTCAGAGCTCAGAGCTCGGCACCAGATCTTCCTTTTCTTGACTCCCTGCTCGCCTGCTTCACAGTTTCCTTCCCCTCTCCTCCCCTCCCCTCCCCTCCGTATTAACTGGGATGAGACTGGAACTGGAGTCTATTTTTAATTGTTTTCCATATTAAATGGAGTTTTCTATTTCCTGCCTCTAACTTGAAAAGCAGATGAATGAAACTTTTTCTCACTTAGTCTTCCCACTCAAATCTTAGTTATTTCAGTAATTTTATTTTTCCATTTTGTGTGGCTCCCACATTCATTTTCACCCATCAGTCTGTATTCTTCAAAAATAAAAGGGTCCCCCCCCACACTAATCTGTGTAAGAGCCCCTTCTCCTTGCAGCCGTGCCGTACCCCTTACTGGCAACAGCTTTCTCTGCCCAGAAAGTGTCCATAAAGCAGGACAAAGTGAAGTTTTGGTTCTCTGTGAACTTCTTTATGACTCATCTTTAAAAAAAAAAACCCGACCCACTCAAAAAGAAGCAAGTTAGTTCCCAGAAGGAAAGGCAGTTTTTCTAAAGATGGGATTTAGTCCCAAGGCCACTTGGTTTTTGGGAAATGCCAAGAAGTGTACTGCCAGCTGCTCCTGGTGACACCTAGCGAGGCATTTTTAGGGCATAGAAATGCCCGTAGCTCCTTTTTGTTTCTTCCCTGAACAGATGAGTTCTTCTTATTTACCCAAATGTCTTTGGTTTTTGCCTTTCTCTTTGGTCCAAGTCCTGCCCTTGGGTTTATACATCAGAATTCTGCAGCCTGAATCACATTTCCTTCAGAAAAGCGTTCAAAGTACATTAGTTTTTTGGCATTACAAGGTAGCTTCCCATAAAGAGCAAACCGCCTGCTTCCTGAGTGGGGGTGGGAGGCGCGTGCAGGAAGAGTCGAGGATCCCGGCCTCAGATCACTGATCATCAGCGGGCTGTGGGGCAAGTGTTTTTGGCTTCACTTTGGAGTTTACCCAACCCGGCAGCCCTGCTTTGCCTCACAGACAGTACCCGTAAAAACAATTTCTTAACTATTGCAAAGTCTCCTGAGGGAAAGACAACTCTACTCCACTTCTAGAATTCTAGTTTAGTCATCCTGAAAAAGACTCCCTTTTGTTCCTGCCTGGGCTGCCCCAGGGCACAGTGTGACAGTAACCCTGTCTCCCCAAGCCAGCACCCCCGACACACACACTGCAGACAGACGGAGGCACCCAGCCCCCAGCCTGGCTCTGACAGCTCCAGCCCTCCCTCCAGAGCTTTCTGTCCCACATGTGTTTGAGGGCAGATGGTTTGTGATCAGCCTTGGGGGAAGAAGATTTGAATCAGAAAACTCTCAGGACTTAAGGTGCATGGGTGCTCTAGCTCGGAGATTCTGGGTCTTTAATGTGCATAGAAACCTGGGAACCAGATTCAGGAGGCGCTTGGCGGAGAGGCTTAGGGGAGAGGTTCTGCATTTTTTCAGCAACCTCGCAGGGCATGTCTGTGGAGAACAGGAGCTTCATGGTCGGGTGAGATGATCTGGGGACAACCCTAGGGGTGCTGATTTCTAACTTTGCTGAATAACACTCCTGAAAAACTGCTATGACCTACATTGCACACATCTCTCTATGAAAGAAAGGCTGTTCCACACCTCAGAAGTGGGACACAATGTAGTCTTTTCAGGTGAAGATATTTGCCTTTGATTGCTGGGGAAGGCCTTGCCTCCGGCTTGGAGAATAGCCTTTGGGAACGACAGATCCACTGAGCACTTTGACTTAACAGACAAGGAAACTGAGGCTGAGAAATTATGTGATTGGGTAGTGCTGTTTGGCAAGTTGCTGGCAGAGCCAAGCCTAGGGCTCTGCCGGGCTCCTGTGGTCCAGCCGGTGCCAGCGTCACCCACGTGCCCGACGTGGACAGGGCCGCTTCCGCCAGCTGTGAGCGCCCCCGTGGCTCTGTTTACTTCTTGCCCGCATTGGTTCTGGAGGGAGGGTGGGGACGCCGCCAAGGAGCATGATGACGGCACCCATGGGCTGGCAAGTGCTCTGTTTTTATCGATGTGGCTGCTTTATATTTAGCAGCTGTGGAAGGTACAGGTCGTTTTTGTGCTTATCCCAAAGCACGTACACACAGAACCCTCTGGAGGAGGTGCTGGCCGCCCCTCTTCCAGAGTGTCCAGGATGGTGGGAGACACATAGCCCTCCGGTGTCAAGGAGCAGCAGGGGCCTGGTGGTGAGAGCTGGAAAGAAACCTGGGGAACCCAGGTTCTAGGCACAGCTCTGATTTTTCACTGTCATCTTGGGTAGTTTCTGCCCCCTCTCTGAGGTCTCCCAGCTAGTGCTGACCTACCTGCTAGGGTTACTGCAAAGATTGAAAGTGTTAACACATGAGAAAGCTCTTAAAACAATGTCTAGCATTTAGCAAGCTCTCAGGTGATAGCTGCCATGGTGATGATCACATATCCCTCCAAACATACCGAGACTGGGGTTGTATAAGGTCCTGCTCCCTTAATACCAGGGGAGTTGAGGGTCTGCTTCAGTGATCAGATCATCCTAAGACAAGATGTAAACAACCAGAAAACAGTGACAGTTCCCTGAATCCTGGTGCAAATCTAGGGGAAGAGGGACAGGAGACCCCGCACCCGAATGATGAAGCCGCATTAATATCCCTGTATTCAGCTGGACTGTGTAATATTTTAGTGTCTAAGCCCAGAGGACGGGAAGAACACAGCTTTGGGGACCCTAGTGAGTTATGCCAGGACTTCTTAGTCCTACTGCGTCTGTGGAAACCTCACTTACACTGTGTATTTTTTCTTTCATCACAGAACAGCAGAAGCGACTCAGTAGCCTTTCAGGTAGGTGAGAAATATTTATTTACACATGAACACCTGTTCCTGCTAAAGCCATCTTCTGGTCCCCACCTGATGTGTTTGGTCAGTGGGAAGTCTTGTGAGCTCCTCTGATGTGCTGGGAGCTCTACTTATTCCTGGGCTGCAAGGATGATGAAAATGGGTGTGGTTCCTGCCTCCCCGGAGCTTGCAGGCTGGTGGGGGCAGACCAGTGGCACAGACTAGAAAATGTGTCCCGTGGGACTGTGACAGGTGCCTTGCTGGGTAAGAACAGGCTGTTCTGAATGAGAAGAACAAGGAGCTCTGCTTTGGATGGAGTGCTCCTGGCCAGCCCCAGTGAAGGCCCCACCTTCCTATTGCTTCTGTCTCTTCAAGTGCAGGTCCGAGGCTCAGAAAGGTGGGCACGTTCTCTCATTTTTGGGTGACAAGCCCAAATGCCAGTGGTGGACCTGGGATGGTGGGCCTAGGTGTGAGAGCTTCCAGACCAGCCGTGCCTGGAAGAGGGCGGGAGAGCACTGCTTCCTGGACTCGATCAGGCACCAGAGTCTTCTGGTCAAAACCTGATTCCCAGGCCACAGCCCCAGAGACTCAGGTTCAGGGATATAGGTGAGAAGCTGCATTTCTGACCAGCTCCCCGGTGATTCTGATGCTCCCCTTTGCATTGACCACATTAGAGCGGCAAGTTTCCTCCACCTCAAGCCGACGATGGTGGAGAGTGGCTGCAAATATAATCAGATATCCAAGCTCACGCCCTGATAAAGTGTGCAGGATTGGGACAGCGCTGGGTGGGGAGGAAACGAACAGGCTGGCCCGGGTGATGGGGAAAGCTAGGAATGGGAATGTTTGGCCATTTCCTTCTGGCTTTCTGTAGCCAGAATCCTGGTTCTCGCACTTACTAATGCTGAGACCTTAGGACTGATGATTTACTCTATGGATCCCTTTTTTTTATCTGCCCAAGGCAGGAGTGCCTCCTAGGTCCTGCTTGTAAACAGCTTAGCACTGAGCACTGGCACTCCTAAGAGCTTGGTAGATGTGAGTTACCACTGTCAGTTGATGCCTCCGTTGGTTCGCTTGTCATTTTACTGGGTGTCTACTCTGCCAGGCACCGAGCCAGGCTCTGGGGCTGTATCAGGGAACTGTGCTGCTTTCAAGGAGCTTATGGTGTTGTATCATGGCCTGTAACCTTGTTCTGGTAGTGGACTTGTTTGGAGAATCTAAGGAAGGAAGTAGATTCATTCTTAGAAAAAGCCACATGTGTGCAAACATATGGCACATGGAAGATTTGCAGACACTCGTGAGCTCTGGGGTTAAGAACCTCTGATCTGGTGGTAGTAAAGCCACCATTTTTCCGAGCAGCTCCTCCATGATGTCTGTGTTCCTTAACCCCCGCTGCTGTCCTTGTGATCCAAGGAGAGCCAGGGTGGAGGACATGGGGTTCTCACAGCCTCTCAGCTGTATCAGGACTTGGCCGCAGGACCAGGACAGCCTGTGGTTGAGCTCAAGGTGCCCTTCGCTGCCCCTCCTGGAGCTGCCACACTCCAGCCCACTTCACTCCCTGGCCCCAGCCCAGGCTGCTGAGAACTGGGTGGCTCTGAAAAGTAGCCCCTGCGGGTGCCTGCCTGCCTTTGGGAGTTTGAAAAGGCATCAACTCAAGTTAGGGGGCCCAGAGTTTGGTCAGGGTTCTTCCTTCTTATACTCGCTGTTGATCCCTGGTTCAGTGACTTCACTTCTCCAAGCCAGTTTCCTCGTGTGGGAAATGGGCCTGGTAACCCTCTGCCCTGCCGCAAAGAGGCGCCGTAGGGGTCCTGCACGACGGGAAGTGGGGTGTGCTTTGCACACTGGAAGGTGCTGTGTGCGTGTCAGAGCTGCTCCATCATGCTGGCAGGCTCAGGCCGCCTTCTCTGCTCTAACATAAGCCCAGTGCTTCCACCCTTATTTTAGGACAGATCCACTAATGGTGTTTGATACAGTGAGACATAAAGTAGGTGCTCCCTAAATGTAGGTTTGTTTAAAAAGAAAAAGCACCGTCTTGTTCAGAAGCTCCTGAAGGAGAGAGGGCTGGCGGGGCTGGTGCTCCAGTCTGTGCCCTGGAGGAAGTGAAAGAGGCCTTGCCCATCACACTGGCGATGTGGGACCAGGACCACCGGCCTCCCTCCCCTTACCAGATTTTGTCTTGACCTCTGTGAGGCTTCATGCTCACTGAGATTCCTCCAGGGATGAGACCCACATGGGATTTGGCCTCATGAAGCTCCTGGTCCCCTTGGGTGGACAGACAGGAAAACAGGATAAAGGCTGGAACAGAGGGGCCAGCATAGGTGTAGAGAGCCCGCCCCTCACTTCCCCCTAGGGCAGTGTAAGCGTGACTGCTGTCCTCAGTCACAAAGCTTTGGGTGTGAAGAAAAGAGACACTTTCCCACCTCCCACAAACACAGATGCCCCGTCCAGGTTGTCAGCAGCATCCTTTATTTAGTGGCCCTTTCCAGGACCTTCCTGTTTAAAGCACAGTGTAAAACCAGCAGGAACTGTTCCAGGATGTCCTGTGAGGATCAGTATTTGCCTAGTGAGAAATAACAGCAAGGCTTCATTGTAACCCAGTGTCAAAGGATGGCCCTGTCACCTGCGGGGTACAATGAAGTGTTACTTTGGTTTTCTGCTATATAAAGAAACATTTTTTCTTTAGAGGTTGCAATTCAGCCTTCTGTATTTTGAAATCCACTCAGTCATGAATCACATGATTACAGGCTTCTAAATTAAAATAATTCAGGGCTAATTTTTGTAGCTCAAAAGGACTCTGGCAGCTTGGGAACAAATCCATGGACTGTCAGCCTGAGTTTGCAGTTAAGTGATTGTTGCTAGAGCCACCTGCCCTAACAATTTCTTACAAATTACTCTGGGTCTGAAAACGCAGAGATTGGCATATCTGTGATCTTCCTCTTAAGAGATGACGGTACAGAGTGAGGACTGTGAGCCACTCTCAACACCTGGTCAGGTGGCTTGAGATCAGCCTCACCTGCTGCTGCTTGATCACGCGTAGGCAAAGCCTTTCCCGTGGGAGAAGGATGCTCAGCAGAGCTCTATTAAGGGCAGGCTCTGGTAACTCAAAATCCCCCCACCCTTCCCGGTTTCCTGCCAAATCTTTGACCTCCTGTTGGAATTTCCTGGGAGCCTGAGAACTCATCCCATAAAACCAGTCTGCTCTTAACATCCTTTAATGCTTATGGCGATGCTGTCACATGCTGATACATCAAACTAGTGAATAAAACAGAAAAGAAGCAGACTCACAGATAAAGAGAACATAAAAATAAAAGATAGGGGCTCCGCCTTTTTGCCCCCTAACCTTTCGGCCTCTCTGGTTACCATCTGATACACTCCTTATTTCTGTGCTGACCTCCCCCACTACTTACTGCCCACTTCTTCTCACAGACTCATCCCTTCCCCTGCAATCTGGCGTCTACCCTCAGTCCCCTCCTGAAATTTGCTCCCTTGGAGCAATCCTGTGACTCTTTTTTTTTTTTTTTTGCCTAAGGTAATGCCGCCTCCCCTGCTTCAGTTTCTTTTTTTTCTTTTCCTTTTTTTCTGACGCATTTAACATCCCACTTCTTGGAACTCTGTCCTCACCGGATTCTGGATTCAGTGACACCTCGCTGGTGCCTCTCCGGTTCATTTTCTATCCCTGTGAGGACTCCTGCCAACTTCTGGGAATCCTTTTTTGCTTTTCAGCCCATTACCGTGACATTCCTCTGTGTCAGATCGGCCCTTGGCTTTACTCTCACCTCCTCCTTGACTCCTTCCACCTCCTTGCCTTGGGCCATCACTTTTGTGCTAATGGCCATCACTTTTGTGCTAATGCCCACCTGCCGGGGCCTCTCACCTAGGCTCCCCTCCCCCCTCCCATGGTTCTTCTAGGGTCTCTGGGGGCATTTCAGTGTGAATGTCTCGCTGTCTTTGCAGAATTACCCTAAGCAGGGTGACCACGTCTCGTAGCCTTTCCTGCCTCCTCTCTTTGGATCAGACCAGGCTCCCAGCCTCAAAACCTTAGTTCCCTCTTTGAGGGAGGCCAGACAGGATGTGGTTCAGAGAGGACCGCCAGAGTCAGGTGGACGCTCTGCCAAATCCCAGCCTGTCCATGTGCTGGCTGTGTGATCTCAGGCAGCGCACTTTAACTTCTGCGCCTCGATCCCCTTAACTTTTTTTTTAAGTAGAGTTTAAAAACTATGATAATAGTTTCTTCCTCATCAAGTTATTGGGAGGACGAGCTGAGACGCTGTATGTGAAGAACTTAGTGCCTGGCGCATAATAAGCTCAGTGTGGTTCAGAGGCCCCCTTGTATGAGCTTATGCTGGTCCCTCCGCCAGAAACACCCTTCACTTGCTGATCGCCTGGCTGACTTCTCTGAGAGGTGGGCCCTGAACCCCAGTTCCTCAGCTGAGGAGAACACAGACCCCTCTGTCAGCCCCGGTCACCTCCGTTCTCCCTGCTGGTTCTTTTGCTCCTTCTGCCCGCTAGACGGCAGCTCCTCAAAGGCCGGGCTCGGAAGGGTTCACCCCCGTGTCCCCAGCACGTGTAAATGCATAGCACCTGGGCGGTGCTTGGGAAATGCTTCCCATATATAAATGACGTGCCTTGGAATAACAGAAGATACGAAGTAATTTTATAATCTGTGGACTGCACGTGGTGTATGAGCGCACTGTAGCTTCCGCTCCTGAATCAGGTGAGCTCTGATGTGCTCTTAGCAGTTTACAGCTTTGTGAGCACTTCGGCATATGTTATCTTGCTGGGTCCTCACACCATCACTGGGAGCTGGCCAGTGAAGTGTTACCCCCAATTTTGGATGAGAAAACAGAGGCACGGAAAAGTTACATGACTTCCCCAAGATGAAACAAGGACTTTCAAGTAGTGTTTGGCCGCCTTCTTGTGGTTTACCTGCTCCCCGACTTTGCGGAACAGTCAGAACCACTTGGACGTCTGGGGCACCGAGCACAGACCTCTGTAGGGCACCTCCCACACTGTCCACACGGTTTTTTAGAAGGGCCGATGGTAGGTGTTTTAGATTTTACAGATCGTACAGTTTCTGTCACAGCTGCTCAGCTCTACCATTGTAGCTCGAAAGCAGCTACAAATAGTGCATAAATGAGCAGTGTGGTTGTGTTCTAATAAAACTTTATTTACAAAAACTAGGGCCGGGCCATCATTTGCTGACCCTGCTCTAAGCACAGTTCCTTCCAGTTGAGAACTGGCAGGCACACTTTTAGCTGGATTGTCTGTGGGGGATTTGCTTTGGAGCCACCAGAAGAGCTTTAGCTAACAATCGCTTTTCTTTTCCAGATCCTGTCTCGGAAAGAAGAGTGGGGGAGCAGGACGTGGCACCGACTCAGGAAAAGCCTAGCTCCCTGGGCAGGGCTCCTGAGAGGAAGGCAAAGGATGACAGCAGGCGGGCGGCTAAGAGCGCTCAGGACCTGAGCGATGTGTCCATGGATGAAGTGGGCATCCCCCTCCGGGTACGAATCTCGACCTGGCAATGCTTCTTGGGCTTCATCTTAAGCTGGTGACAGGTGTACACCCTGAGTCCATGGGAGCCCCTCCGTGGGTAGCAGAGACCTCGTGCAGAGGGTCCTCACCACCGTCTGCCCTCCAAGCAGCTAGGGCCCCACAGAGCCTCCAAGAGCTGGCGCCAGCCTCCAAGCCCACCGCAGTCCAGGAAACTGGATTCAGCCTGCAAGACCTCAGAACAGAGTTGGTCTCACGGCAGCCCTGCCCCAGCCCTCCCGACTGAACAGGCCTGCCAGCCTCCTGCAGGCCCTGGAATCCCAGGGAAGCCTGACTTTGAGACTGGATTAGGATGAATCCCATCCTTCTTCACGAGCCCAGAAGAACACTGGCTGCAGTGTTGCTCTGTGATTTCCCTTTAGCAAAGGACAGGTTTTTATGTCCCTTTTGGGGGAGGCTGATAGAAATAGCAGTGGGCTAAACCTCAAAAGGGCAGTTGTCTGATCCTAAGGGATGATAAG